CATGAAGCGACAGTTCATCATTGGAAAACAACGGCAGTGGACAACAAATGACGCCCCTAAAAAGCACACCTCTAATAAGCAATCTAAGTGAAGAGCAAAAATCAGGAAGCCAACACAAAAACCATAGCTGACAAACAAAAGCAGTATGAGCCACGACTCTAAACCTTTTACTGTTTATAAGTCGAACACCTTTTAATATGTATATAATTTATTCATTTTTACAAGTTTTAATTTGGCCTTAATTTAAAATTGTTACACTATATATATATATATATATATATATATATATATATATATATATATATATATATATATATATATATATATTGAAGTTATACAAGAAATATTATTTTTTAGTAAAATAATTGATAAAAATGAATGTTAAAAATAAAAAATAACTTACCCTTCAAACTAGAGACACTGAAATCATAATAATTTATTTTTCTTCAAACGTTTTTACTATTTAGCTCCCCGCTAAATTTTTTTGGATATTCATTTCTCCTCAAATCTCCCTCCAATTTCATTACATATTTCTCCACTTTTTTGTCTTATTCGTTCCCCATCAATATTAAAAGAATACAACTTATATTTGTTGTTGTCGTTACCTCAACATAACACTTTTTTGTCCTTGCCTCAAAAAACTCATCTTTTACGGAAATGGAGTTGCTTTCATTTAATGTTTTTTTTAATAATATTTAAAATGTGTTTTTCTTGTTGTTCTATGCATCTTGATGTGTCTCTTGTTTTGTATTTATTAGCTACCCGTTTTTTTCCTGTAATCAAATGTTTGGCCTTTAAAAAAGAAAAACTTATAAGCCAATGGTTAATTTCAAAGTGTGATGTTATAATTTGAATATTAACAAAATTACATAAATGGTCCTCATGGTTGACAAAATCGACCAATTATGATCCTTATGACAAATTCTTTACATAGATGGTCCCTGTGGTTTCAAAATTTTGCTAAGACGGTCCTTTTGACTAATGACGTTAACTTTTTCAGTCAAGTTCTATGTGAAATGACATATTTTGTCCTTCATGCGTAAGGACGTTTTATGTAATATGTTTCTACCACAGAGACCATTTATGTAATTTTCTCTATTATTTATTATTATTTTTATTTATATTAATTATATATTTATATATTTAAGGATTTAGATTTGTTTAAATTTATTGTTTAATATATATTCATGCTAACATTTTTTAACGTTTTGCTCAAATTATTTTTTCTAATCTTTTTGACATTTGTTCAAGTAAATTTATTAATGTTTTTTATTTTGACGTTTTATTCGAATATTATTTATTTATTTTTTTGACGTTATGTTCGAATACATTTTTCAACTATATAAGGTTGTATATTTATTATTTTTGTAAACTAATTTATTAACATTTTTTTATAAAAAAGTGTAAAATGTTTGTTAAACGTGAATATGATTAATATAGATTAGGTAGACATAAGCTAAGCTGAGACCGTCTCACAACGTTGCCGAGAACGATCAAGTCATTTCACATTGGATTTAAATGTAATTATTTAGAGTCTTTATTTATTTATTTATTTATTTATTTATTTATTTTTATAGCAGTGTAGTAAAAAATCACAACCCAATGGCCTCTAATTGGTCAGGTAGCGCTTAGAGATTAATCAAAGATTAATCGGAACCTAGTTGTGATTTTTTACAACACTGCTAAAAAAAATAACTCGAAATAATTACATTTAAATCCAATGTGAAATGATCCGGTCGTTCTCGGCAACATTGTGAGACGGTCTCAGCGTAGCCTATGTCTACCTAATCTATATTAATCATATTCACGTTTAACAAACATTTTACACTTTTTTATAAAAAAATGTTAATAAATTAGTTTATAAAAATAATAATTATACAACCTTATGTAGTTAAATATTTGAATTAAAAAATAATAATTATATAACCTGATAAAAGAAAAAAAATGAAAACATAATTAAAAGTGAATTAAGTTACGAATTATAATTACAATAGCCGTGAAATCCTTTAACAAATATAAACATACTATATGTTGAAAAATGTATTTGAACAAAACGTCAAATAAATAAATAAATAATATTCGAATAAAACGTCAAAATAAAAAACATTAATAAATTTACTTGAAGAAAATATCAAAAAGATTAGAAAAAATAATTTGAGCAAAACGTTAAAAAATGTTAGCAAATATATATATATATATATATATATATATATATATATATATATATATATATATATATATATTAAACAATAAATTTAAACAGATCTAAATACTTAAATATATAATTAAAATAAATAAAAAAATAATAAATAATAGAGAAAATTACATAAATGGTCCCTGTGGTAGAAACATATTACATAAAGTATCCTTATGCATGAACGGCAAATATGTCATTTCACATAGGACTTAACTGAAAAAGTTAACGCCATTAGTTCAAATGACCATCTTTGCAAGATTTTAAAACCACAAGGACCATCTGTGTAAAGAATTCGTCATAAGGACCATAATTGGTCGATTTTGTCAACCATGAGGACCATTGATGTAATTTTGTCTTGAATATTAGATATATGTTTGATGTTATATGTGTCAAATTAAAATACTGGAGAGTAATGATCTTCAATTACTTTGATGTAAATTTAAAATTTCAGTCGGTTGTTTGGCTATCTTGTAGTTTGTACAATCCCCGTATGGAGTGTTATCCATATATTCAAACTCAGTCGTTAAAACCACATTTATATTTTGCTAAAAAACTCAAAAAACCAGGTTGTTAAGAAATGGGTCATATAACTTCCTTGAACGCTTGTTTACTTGTAAAACCAATAGAACTCGGTTGTATTATTGAGACCGGGTCACATACAAATGCAACTAAAAGCCCCGGTTGTTATGTTGTGAACCGGGTTACTTACGTATACCATATACCCCGGTTCCTTAAATTACATAGGGTCATTTAATTTTCCATGAATAAGTCTTAGTTTTGTCACAATATATCCCGTTTTTCCCAAAAATTGGGTCCTATTTGGCGAGTCCTATAACACGTTTTGTAGTAGTGAACTAGAGTTTCTTTATTCACGCATAAGTGAAACGCCAACCCACAAAGAAGAAATAATCAGTAGAGTTTCATAAAGACAAAAAGACACATATATGAGCAATAAAATGAAAAGTAAATCGAAAATCAAAAGGGGCATGGTGAAAAGGTACATATAGAACTAACATATAAATAGAAAATGTAGATACAAGTAATCATTAGAAAGAAAAGTATCGACAAAACAAGTTGAAAGTAAAAATAGTGAAAATTAGGAAAAATGCACAAACAACGTAAAGACAACTAGCTCCTAGACTACTCATGTACTACTCCACAACCTTGATCTTATGCACCCACCCTCTCTCATCAAAGCTCGTATCCTTGTAAAGAGAAAAACCTCATTCATATGTAATATTGCATTATCTTAATACTTCTTTTTCATATGTTCTATCGTCCTCATACGATCTACAACGACTGTCTTCACCATCTAGAGTAAAAATCGTTGCCTATATCCTAAGTATATGTTTGAAACCACGAAAATCTTTGTTTCCTTGATTTCTATGTGATTAAAATCGCTTCTATTGTATTTTTAAGTGTTGTTTCTAGTATATAACACAATAAAAAGTATATTAATTACATAATTACTACAACATCTTCACTTTTGTAACCTTCATATTCAACTTGTGCTCATTTTTAATAACATCTATAACAATTTACAGGATACTGACTTGAAAGGGTAGCAAACTTTCAATTTTGTTCACATTTAGTCATTAAATTTTTTTGTGCTAGATTTACCCCTAAATTTTTTGGAAATTGTTCATGTTTTATAACCGATCATAAGGATAAAATGTAAAAATTTTCAATAATTCAAGAGTAAATCAAACACGAAAAGAAAAATGATTAAATGTAAACAAAATTGAAAGTTCGTTGACTTCTCAAGTAATTATCCCCATTGTCTTTACATGTAAAAAAGTGGATCCATACTTATTATTTTGTTGGATTCTAATCTTTTTTAGGACTAATCATTTTATTCATGTCTTAGACCATTTGGTGCCACCAAATTAATCATTTTTCCTCCAATTCACATTTATTGTTGAGATAAACACAAGAAAAACAAAAAGTACTTGAAATAAATAAATAACTAAAATAATGTAGTTTTTTTTAAACCGTCAATATTCATAATTCTTATTACTATATATTACATCCTAAACTTAAGGCTGACAACACCTTTATACCAACAATGATACACCTAGGATATAAGATTTTTTTGTTATCGAAGTGACAGATTGTGTAGTCAACGGCAGCACTTAGCATATTTGTAGAAAGTGGAGTCCAGTCCAGCCCAGTCGTAGTCACTAGTCACAGCCCAATACTTAAACACTGGTGTTGGTTTGAAAGTTAATTCAAAAGGGAAGTCATTAAGTCGAGTACGCTCATGAGCTAGTCAGCTCTCAAGTTAGGCCATTTGTACGGTTAGGCCCCATCATGCTCCAGTGAATTCCAATCTGGTTTTCTCGGACCAGGACACAGACAACTAAGGTCACTTCCTTTGGTACAAGTACAACGCATGCTTTATGTTTCATGATTAATATCCATTTAAAGGTAAATAGCATTCATCATGACACTTTATCGCAATCTAGAACAAAGAGAACGCGTGAACAAGTTTTTAACCATAAAATATATTTGTATCTTGATCAAACACTAACTATATATCAAACTTCTTAAATTATAAAGTACTAATAATAAAGTATGTCACAACGACTGATTATAACTACTGTACTTGTATTTGTTTTGCAAAATAACCATTTTTTTTATTTTTTTTTAAATTTTAATGTAAGTACGTAATAAACGTAATTCATACAGTGAAGAACTCAATACTCAATAGTCAATACAAGATGAATATAGGATCGAGAATTTGGCAGATAAAAATACTGCAACCCAAACCGTGATGATATGATTATGATTATGATTCTGATTTCTAAACGTTGAGGTTATTTGAAGTGTTGGTGTCTTGTTGACACCTGTAGATGAAGGCTTCTACTTGTCGATCCAATTCTTCTTGACTCAGGATCCTAACATACCTCTCCCTCCGACCTCTCGGCCTCGACACACCCTCATGGAACGTCTTCGACTTTCTTAATTCCCTCTTGTCAAACACAGTACTTTCCGATGCCATCTCTCCCTCTTTTGATCTTCCTTCATCAGCATGTACATGTACTGGATCTTTTAACGTATCAAAGTTTCCGTCATCATCATCCAACGATACTGCAATACTTTGGCAAACGAGGGAAGTTTGGATGAAGGACTCATCTGTGATCAAGGATTGGTACCGGTGATCATCAGTTTCAGTTGTCGGCGGGTTGAAAACGATGGGGTTGTAAGAACGGATAGAAGACGATGCGGCGATGAAGAATATAATGAAGTTGATGAGTAGATAGACGTAAGGTGGACATAACCATGGCTTCATTGAAGAGAATAAGGTGGTAAACATGGTTTTGAAGACGCTAAAAAGCTCCAAATCCATCAAGTTGAAAGCTAAAAATGGCGTCACCATAGCACCTGCAATTATCAATAGCTGTACCGCCGGTCCATACTTGCTTGTTCGAGTGTCCTTGCCCATTCACTTTACATTCAAACAGCAGAGAGAGAGAGAGAGAGAGAGAGAGAGAGAGAGAGAGAGAGATGTCTTCTCTACAAGCACTCCAAGGTCTTTTAATGGTCCTTTAAATATCAAGCGGGTTGATAGTCGAAAAGACTTTTCATTCTTATAAATTTTAGTCCGTAAAAATACGGAAAAATATTCAATGTTTATAGATGTTGTTGGCGTAATCGATCGTTACACATGTTGATTAGTTTAAACAAAAAAATTGGTAAAATACAAAGTATATTAATTAAACTAATAACCATTATGAACCAGGTTGTTAATAAAAATATCAATTGCTACTTATTCTCTAATACCAGTTTCGGAGTACCAAATGCTACTTAGGTTATAACAAGTGAGAAAGAAAAAAAATTAAACTGTTTCCAATGATTTTTTCTTTCTTATAATCAGAAGATATTTCATTTTGACATAATTATAAGATTATCGAACTTTATTTTATTTTCCTTCAACTCCTATCCTATATATAAAAAACAGTCACCTTTTATTCGTTCTTCTAACTCGAAAAACAAATAAAATTATGTGATTCTTTTCCATCTTTTTCTCTTTAAATAAAAAAGGAGAACAGTAGGACACAATTGTGTAAACACAAATAAATAAAACGACAAAATAAACGGCAAATTTTTCTAAAGACTCCCCTCGAGTAATTGATAGATCCAATTGAGACCCTTCAACTACTTGCCGACGGCAGAGCTGCCGCCAGTTGACTTGCAAGACTCTAAAAGAATCCTCGAGTTCCGTTTGGTACAACTCTTTGCACGAAAAATAATTAATTTTAATACTTTGGACTTATTGTTGAAACAAAAAGTGATACTCTTTCAGCTAAGGAATCGTAGACTTGAAGACTTGGAAGTACCCTAAAGATGAGTGGAACCGAAGATAAAACCGCAAAGATGGACGATGCATAGAGACTATTTTGTTACTTTATCTCACAGTACTTGTATGTTGTGTATTATCCGGTGAACTTTGAATGGTCACCTAAGTCAGTAGTTTAATGTTTGTTAATGTCTCAAATGTAACTTTCGGGATTCCATAAATAGAGTACCTGTACTCATAACGATTTTTCTGAACTATTATTGCAATACAAAAGATTGTTCATCTCTATCTATTATCTTCTGATAGTACTAGTTCTTCTTTCACTTTAAGTAGATCACATTTACTAACTTGTGTTTGAATGCAAACCTCGTTATAAATCAACTTGATATAACTTGTTGCTATTTATTTCCTTTATATTTCTGTAATCTAACATTTAACTTATTATTATTGTTGAACTAACAAGATCCTTAAGATTAACTTTTATTTTGCATTATATTATCTTGTGACTAACGTTTGTTCAAGTTTTTCTCTCAACAATTGGTATAAGAGCTAAAGTGATTGCTTTTTAAACAAAACTCTGATTTTAGAAAGCCTTCTATACCACTGAAGTTCATTCTAAAAACAAACAAAAAAAAGAATGAAATATGGCACAAGCATTTTCATTAAACGTTTCCAACAGTGTTGGAGGCTCGAATAGTGCTCATATACTTGTTGCAAATGAATACCACCATTGGACTCAAATAATGGAAATGTATCTTAAGAGGCTCGGTAGAGATGTATGGAAGTATGTGGAAGAAGGACCCCATATCTCGGTTCTTGCTTCTGCTCAAGCAGATGGTGTTCAGACACAACTATGAGGAGCTCAAGCAGCCATGAATCGACTAACAAATGATGATCTTGACAAAATGGAGAAAGACGCCATAGCCTTTTATGAAATCTCATGTGGTGTTGCCCCAGATAACTTCGACACCATCATCAACTGCAAATATGCCAAAGAGATTTGGGATGTGCTCAAGAATCTTTACCAAGGGTCAGAACAAGCTCAAGACAAAAAGCTCACTACTGCTTTCAACGAGTTCAACAACTTTAAAGCATTTCCTAGTGAAAGTCTTGAGGATTCATTCAGAAGGTGTAACATTAGCATCTCAAAGTTGTCAAATGCCGGTACAGTTCGAAGTAATCACAAAACAAACCTACAATTTCTGAATGTTTTGGGTAGACATTAGACTACTGCTAAGATGATAGTCTAAGGAGACAGGAAAATCCACACTCTTTCACTGTTTAAGCTCTACAATAAACTATAAGCACAAGAACTGACGGTGTTAAAGGCCTGTGCAGACTTGGGTGGACCACCACTACAAGAAAAATCATGAATAGCTACGGAAAAATGTTACGGAATCAAATTCTGTAGCCATTTTGCTACGGAATATGCTACGGAACGACTTTCCGTAGATTTTTTGTTACAAAATTTTCTACAAAATAAACTTTCGTAGCAAACTTATAATTAATTACGGAAATTTGTTATGGAATCGTAATCTGTAGATAATCTGCTACCGAATTTACTACAAAATTAAAATACATAACTATTTTGCTATGAAAATTACTACAAATCTAAATTTCGTAGCTATTTTGCTACATAATGATATTTCGTAGCCATTTTGTAACGAAATTTAGTTACGGAAATAAATTTCATAGTTATTTTGCTACGGATTGAAATTCTGTAGCTATTATGCTATGGAATTTTGCTACAAAATTGATTTACATAGCTATTTTGCTACGGCGGAAAAATCCATAGCTCTTTTGTTACAGAAATTTCTACGGAACTAAGTTATATAAGTATTTTGCTACGGAATGAAACTTAATAGATATTTTACCCTGTTTTTCTTAAGTTTTTTTAATTTTTATAAACGACATATAAGGTAGGATAAAATATAATAAATTTGGGTGCAATAATTAACAATAATCGGTGACAGGAGCATCTATCTGTGCATCAAATTAGTATATATTATCTTAATAGTATACGAAGTTAACAAGGTCCAAAGCTAAATGTTTCAAGCATAATCCTCAGTTCAAAAATAAGGGCAAATTGGTAAAATCACAATCCTCAACTAAAAAATAAAGGCGAATTGGTAAAATCAGATGACCTCGTTTTCACATTGTTGCCAAGCTATTAAAGCTAACTGGTATCCCGATCAAACCTCTAACCTGCCGACCGATCATCTCTCTCCCTCTCTCAACCTACCGCCGTTGTTCAGCCTCCCCATCATATCGGTCATTGTTCATCCTCTATTTATATAATAGTCTGATTTCAAGAGGTATTTTTTAATCACTTCACCTAATTCTTTATTCCTCAATTTTCCCCCAATCTACACTTACGCCATTATCGATCGAACTTCATGAAGCTCATTATCGATCGGACTTCAGAACGCTCCTCTCACTCTAGTTTGCTTTGTCGTTTGCCTCCTGCTCCGTTAATCGGAAGATTGTTCTCGATTGATGATCCTCGTCGCCTTCGTGTCACTGTGCATCGTCCTACTCCTCTTCGCCACTTTTTTTCTCGATCATCTCCGTCCTTACGAGGTAACATTCTTCTCTGTTATGTTTTCTTCTTAAAACCTGCAGCACTCGCCACTAAATCATCTTTCTATGTCGCCTAAAAAACATCAACGACTATTTCCACCTAATGTTATGTTAACTCTACCAATCCATACACACAGCTCGATTCAAGTTTTTATTGTTGAATTTGATTGATCGGTTTTATTGCATTTGATGTGAATTGTGGATTTTGACTAGACAAATAATGAAGTGTTGATGTGACTTTATTGCCTGAGCATCATATATATCGCACATTGTTTGGATGTATCGTTATTGAATTAGCATGGATTTTCTAGGATAAAACTCACAATTTGTCTTTGATAAAGGATAATAATAAGATGCTTCTATTGCCTGATCATCATAGATTTATTAAGCTTAAAAGAACCACAAAAATCAATAAATATCCTAAAAAGACACAAAACTGCAAATTACTCCAAAGAAAGCTATGGCTCAGTCATTACTTGTTTCAATTGCATCACTTGTGTGTATCTATAGATTTTCAGTATCCCATGAACCAATCTATATGGATTGAATTATTAAAATTATTCTTTACTGCAGGTGGTTTGTATAGCATTTTGGTAACAAAAGTTCATTATGATGTTCCCAAATCAAAAAAAGTAACTGATGTTATTATCCCCTTGTCTTGTAATTTCTTATATGTTTTGAGTCATGACTCATTTCAACATTTTTATTGAATTTGGGCTGTATAAATAGTTTACTCATGATTTTGATAATATTTTCAGGTGGAATCGTATAATACAGAAAGATCACTAAGGAAAATCAAACGAAATAATCCTTCTCTCACTATAAGTATATAAGAACATGATGAATGATGTGTGAATATTAAATGGAAAGATCAAACATTTTAATCAATGGTAAAATTGTCATTTACTCGTGTCTAGAGAGTTTGTTCAAGTCACAAAAGAAACTCTTTTTCCACATTGATTATCTATTCATAACGTTATCCATTCCATTTTTTTTAAGGAACTCTACATTGAAAAATTTACCAAATTGTTAATTTTATTATCAAGGTATTTGTTTATGAAAATAGGATGCTATAATGAACAAATAAATAAAAGTACTTTGTTATTTATTTCATATTTTCTTATGTCTAGACAGGTCATGAGGAACAAATAACACAAGTGAAGTTTAAAAAGAAACTGAATTTTGTCCTATGAACACATTTTGTACGGATGTCAAAGCGGATAATGTAAAGATTATTGCAGGTTAGATGATTACCAATTGTTATATGATTATTTTTGGACTTCATTTTACGGTGTAAAGTGTTGTAATGTAATTTACAAGCCTTTAATTGTCATGAAAAATTCAGTTGATACAATTTACAAGTACTTGAGGATACAACTTGTACATACATTTGTACCCTTACATTAATAAATTCAAAATAGATAACGAATGGAATATTTTTTTAACAATGCCCAAGATTCAAGTAAAAAGATTGATATTTATGGTTGCATATATCTTTTTAATTATTTATTTACAGGTTTATTATTTATTTATTTATCTGCAAGTTGCCTTTTTGGTCTTTGTTT